CTAGGTTATGTTTATCCTTTAATGTTTAACTTGGAGGCATTTTTCTGGCTGCATTTTTCTATGTGAACTGCTTTTGTGTTTTTGCAGTTCCACTTCCAAATCTTGGCAAACAGGCCAAATGTTTTCCAGCTATGAAACCGCTAGGCCAATTTGTGTCGTATCATCCTTGTTCCCTCCCTGCAATTTTGGAGGAGCCTTGAGCAACCATGTTAATAAGGCTCTGGGTGACACAGCTCTTGCAGTTGACAATGGGAACAGCTCTGGGGCTCAACATTGGCCCAGAGAAGGTCTCCTTCCTACTTCCTCAGCCATCACTTTCCTTTCTGTGTGGGCCTCTCTGCAATTTGTTACAGTGTAAACTGACTCACTAGCAACAGCAAGAGTGGGCGGGGGTTGGGGCGTCTGGGAGTGTTCAGCTGGAAAGATCTGGATTAGAGCAATGCTACCCAGGGAAAGTGGACAGAACTTGTTTTCTGAGCCCCTCCACCTCTTCTGGGGTCCCAGGTGTCCTGTGTTGAACTTCACTCTCCCCAGCAGCGCTCACCCAGATTTGATCCCAAGGATGACATCTCCATCAAATCCTTTCCTGTCCCTAATCTTCTCTCATCTGAATTCAAATTTACCTCTCCTTTATTCTAGGACCATAATGTCTTACTGGAGGCCTGGTAAACCAGCCTTTTAAAATTAGTCATGCATAAGTATGCATGGGTGTCAAAAGGTGATGAAAGGCAAAGATGAAGCTGAATTCCTTGCTTCTTATAGCAGAGGAAAGCTAGGTGGGTCACGAGTGCTGCTCTTACATAGCGTTTTTGTCAGTGGTGTGCTAGTAAACCAGCTCTCTGAGAGTAGGGAGAAAAAGATCACTGAATTATAGCACTGGCCAATTTCCAGTGCTATAATATAGAGTCAGCACTTCCATCATGGCCTGACTTCAAGCTACTAGCAAGTGAACAATGGCCCATAAATTTCCTGAACCCCTAAGATCTCAGGCTAGTTCTTGCACACCACTTGGTTGGAAAACATGGAGTTCAGGCATTGGTTGACTTCCAGGCAAGTAAGAGGGTTGATATCATCTGTAGGAACAGTGTTACTTGGTTGAGACTGTTGTTGATTGGTTGGCATGCAGAGGAGCTGGTACTGGAGTGAATCCATCTCTAATCGGTTGACTTGTTAAGCTTTTACTGAAATGAGCTGTCATTGATCCAATGAACAGGTTTGAAACAGCTGCATATGGGTACATAAAAATCTATCTGTTCCTAAGTCTGAGGAACATTTTTATTCTCAGGTGTTGAGCACATTAGATAAAAATTTTGGCAAAGCCTTTATTAGCAGTGACTGGGACAATAAAAATTCAGTTAGAATACTAGCTTTTGTATGGCTAGCAAAGCCAAGTAAAGAAAATCCCCACTAACATTAAAATGGAAACACATCTGAATGTGTTTCCTGTCTTTTCCTCCTATTTCCAGTTCCATGAGTTTTCATGAATCTGGGGCTGACTGGAGGGTTTTTGTGTGGTATCTTCAGTTCACTTTGGGGAAGCAATCTGAGGCTTCCTGTTTGAGATTAAATATGGGTCATTTCTCTTCCTCAGGCCTCTGCCACAGATAAAGAGGGAACTGAAAATCACCATCAGGGCACCATGTGTGACTGGTCCCCAGACAAAGTCTGTGTCTGACATCTAATCAGCATGTCCTCTCTAGGACCCGCCCCCTACCCCACACAGGCTGACTCCCCGATCTGTGAATGTGGAACAGGAATCCGGTGAGTCACAGCTGGCAGAGGTTGGATTGGTGCTCATATTTTCCTTAACTCACACTAGAATGGCCTACAAAACTTATTTTACTGTTTTGTCTTTGTTAATTTTCAAAATGGCTTGCCCCTGGTCTCTTTTTACTGTTATCAAAGCCATCTCATGTTTCCTTGGCAACGGTAGCCTTCTCCTCTCCTCCACTGGAGCCACAGTACTGGCAGTGTATCCTGTCTTAGACTGTGTCCACCCACCCAGTGGTTAAGAGCAGGGACTTGGGTGGCAGAGGAGACTGAGTTTAAACATTAGCCCTAACTACCACCTGTGTGCCCGTGTGACCTCAGGAAATATCACTTAAGTAGACAGCAAAAATCCCAACAAGAGACTGTGGACTCTACACTCGGGGAAAATTTGCCCATGGCTGCTGAGGGGGCCGCTACACATTCACTTCATTCCTCTTTGTAAAGAATAGAGAATGGAAAGTGAATCAACAGGCAGAGAAGGAGAACAGGGCCGCAAAGCTTTGGTGTCTGGTCCCAACCATCAGGCGCAGGTCCCTGGTTCCCTACCAGCCACAACAATCCCTTTGTATCCCTTCAACCCTTGGGTCTTCAGAGTCAGTGGGCTTTCCTCAATGCACACACTACTTCTGATCTCTGAGGGAATGTTTAACCCTGTGGGCCATCTCCTGCCTGCTCTGTTCTGGGTCATTCTTTGGAAAAGATGTCTAGCTTGTAAGCCTGGAACTCTGCAACCAGCACCCCCGCTGGGTCCTGGCTTCACCACTAGCTGCTTGGACAGATGATTTAGATGATCTGAGCTCAGCTTCCTTATCTGTAATATAGGGATGATAATAGTGCCTGCTCCCTGTATTATGAAGACTAAGTGATTCACCCTGTGTAAAAGTGACCTCGGATATAGAAAGTACCTGGGAGGGCTTGTTATGACTACTAATCTGGCCCTTCTTCCCTACGTCTTGTCTTCTAAGTCCATTCCTCCCAGGCAGTTCCTCTCATCTGAATGTGCTCCCCACCAGGTTCTCTCCTCAGCCTTCTCTTTAGCAATGCATCCTAGTGAATTCATTGGTTTTCCAAGTTCCAAGCATCACTGTGAGCTGGTGACTCTCCAATCAGTGTCTGTGGCCTGGATCTCTCACCTAGAAACCACCCTATCTTTCTGCTTCAGTGTGCCACTGTTCTCTCAAGTCCAGCACGCCCTGCACTACACTCAACAGCTTCCTCTTTAAACTGGGTCCCCGCCCCTCACCCTCATATGACAGCGTTGTTCTGATTCTTCCAGTCTCCAAATCATTGCCCTCTTCTTCCTCTTCATCCTCTTCTTCCTCGACATCTAACTTATTGCCAGAGCCCACTGGTCTTCCTTGAGCGTCCCTCTGAGCCACCTCTTCTCTTGCATCACACTGTCCCCACTGCTCTGCCCATTGTTACCAGAGCAGATCCTTACCCAGCTTCAGAGTGGGTCTCCCCTCGTTCAGGGGAGTGCTTCTCAGCTGGCGTAGTTGGCATCCAGGGAGGAGAGTAAGAGGCAGCCCTGCTAGGAGGCTGCCTGGGCTTGGACCCTGTGTGGTATATTCAGTGTACATGGTATGGCCAGTGGTGCATGGCTTCCAACATGGAGTGCCAGCTGTGTACCCCACCCCCAAATCCTAAGGTTAGGACAACTCAGAACACACACACACACTTACACACACATGCACACATATACTTCCAGGTGGCCTCTTTTGGAGGGAGGGTGGAGCTTTATTTTGGGGGCGGGGGGCGGGCTCCAAAATCACCACAGATGGTGACTGCAGCCATGAAATTAAAAGACACTTGCTCTTGGAAGAAAAGTTATGACCAACACAGACAGCATATTAAAAAGCAGAGACATTACTTTGCCAACAAAGTTCCATCTAGTCAAAGCTTTGTTTTTTCCAGTACTCATGTATGGATGTGAGAGTTGATTATAAAGAAAGCTGTGCACCAAATAATTGATGCTTTTGAACTGTGGTGTTGGAGAAGACTCTTGAGAGTTCCTTGGACAGCAAGGAGATCCAACCAGTCCATCCTAAAGGAAATCAGTCCTGAATATTCATTGGAAGGACTGATGTTGAAGCTGAAACTCCAATCCTTTGGCCACCTGATGCCAAGAAATGATTAATTTGGAAAGACCCTGATCCTGGGAAAGATTGAAGGCAGGAGGAGAAGGGGACAAGAGAGGATGAGATGGTTGGACGGCATCACCGATTCAATGGACATGAGTTTGAGTAAACTCCAGGAGTAGGTGGTGGACAGGGAGGCCTGGCGTGCTGTAGTCCATGGGGTTGCAAAGAGTAGGACATGACTGAGCGACTGAAAACTGGAGCCATTACTACTCCAGCTGAGAGTCACTGAGCCTCTTCCAAGTCAAATCCAGCCCACCCTCAGACCCTCCCCAAACACAGATCACTCAGAGCTCCCCCAAACCTCTCCCTTCCTGCCTGCCTCCTTCATCACGTTGTCTCTCTTGGGACAACCATGCCCCAGCCCATCCTCAACATCCCACTTCATTTTTGCCCCTTCCCTGGTCAGCATAGTCCTTCCATCTTCTTAGCATCTTTCCTAACGGTTCTGTATTCAGGCTCCTTCTGTTCCTCTTAACCTCATCCTTACTATTCATATCCTAGTAATCCACCAGGCCTGGTTCAGCCTTTCTGTAACTGCCCCTCCAAGATCCTGAGCCTTCTCAAAACACCTTATAATCAACCAGTTCCACCTGTCTCTTTATTATTCTCTTTTAGCTGTCCGTTCCATGCCTTGTCTACTGAATCAGACACTCAACTTTGAGTACCACAGCCACTCTTGTCTCTAACTCACAGGGTTGTAATGAGTAGTAGTGAGCCCCTACACAGCTGCCCCTTCTTTTATTTCAAAGTTCTTGATCAAAACCTGACTACTTAACTCATGGCCATATTAGCTCATGCTGTGCCCCCTGCAGAAAGATTTTAGCAGCCAGTCAGGACAGGAGCTGGGGAAAGCCAGCCCTTCAACAGTTCTTTTACTGACAATCCAGCTTTTTACTTGGTGACAGCAAATGACAAGCTGACACCCAAGAGAAGTGATGTCTCCGTCACACACTAATTTGTTTGCACAGTAGAAATTGATGATGAAACTGACCTGCTGCATTTATTTCTCCCCATAAGCCCCGCCACCCACTTGACCTCATTGTAAAAATACAGAAGGTGGAACCGGAGCAACAGAGCCAGTGTCTTTACCTGCTTCCTCCTGGTGGACATCGGTGCTACCCGTCAAGTCTTCATCCACCCAGGGACGGGCCTCAGCCCTAGGCTCCCCATTCCTTCTCTCAGTGCCTCTATCAGCATTTTTAAAGATCCACACCATCAAAATGCAGACGACTGCTACCAAGACTGGAGTCAGAAGAAACATGGTGGTGAGGCTGATCCTGAAGGGTGTCCATGCTTCCCAGGCTGGGGTTTAAACAAACAGGGACAGGCGTGCGGAATGCTGGGAGATGAGTGAAGAGAGGGAGGGGTTTGCCCAGGGAAGGAACAGTGACCCTGCAGACTCCACGAGGACTTTGCCAAGGAGCAAAGATCGCAGCTGTGTGCATCAGGGTGTGCTGTGGGTCTGGTAATGCATGGGTGAGTGCACTTTTTTAAACTGTGTGCTCAATCAATATATTCTTAGACAATCATTGCCAGGATTCGAGGATATACTTTGAAGCACTATATCTTGCCAGCCGTGGTGGAAGGTATTTCACCTTTCTCCTGTAAATTTTGCTGAAAGCAATGTGTCTTCAACTGATGTGTCTCCTGATGCTAGGAGTAGCTTAGTGTTGGCCCTTCTCAACCAACCTCCATGGCCCTTTTGAGCAGTTCCCAAATCTGGGATGTTTTCCTGCGGTTTTAGAGACTGGGCAAAGGATTGGCTATCTCAGGTCTCTCATGCACATTTTGGCTTATGTGTATCTCTATTATTTGAACTCTTTTCAACCAGTGTGTACTATTTTTTTTAATATTTCTACTTTTTTATTGTGATAAAATATAATAAAAAATTTACTATCCTAGCTTTTTTAAGGCTCCAGTTCAGTGACATTAAGTACATTCAGAGTGTTGTAAACCCACCCCCACTCTTACAAAAACTGCTTCATCATCCCAAACAAGAACCCTCTAACCATGAAGCAGTAACTCCCCACTTTCTCTTCCCAGAGTCCCTGGTAACCTCAGACCCACTTCGTGCCTCATGATTCTGACTATCCTAGGAACCTTCTGTAAGTGGACCCATACAGTATCTGTCTTTTTGTGAATGGCTTGTTTCACTCAGCCGAAAGCCTTCAAAATTCATCCCTGTTTTAATATGGATCAGAACGTCATTCTTTTTCGGGGTTTAGCAGGTTCTATATATTTTTATGGGGGCTTCCCCAGTGGCTCAGCAGGTAACAAATCTGCCTGCAATGCAGCAGATGCAGGTTTGATCCCTGGATCAGGAAGATCCTCTGGAGAAGGAAATGGTAATTCACGCCAGCATCCTTGCCTGAAAAATCCCATGGACAGCGGAGTCTGGAGGGCTACAGTCTAAGGGGTCGCAAAGAGTCAGACACAACCGGCTCGGCACAGCACATGTGTTTTTATACCTAAAAAATAGATACTAAATAAATGTGATATTTTTAAAAAGACCATTACAATACAGTGCAGTGAGTGCTATAACAGACAAGTATGCCTGGTCCCTTATTCCATCTGAGATAGGACAAGACCCCACGGAGGACAAAGCTTGTGCTGTCTCATCAAACTCAGTGTGACCTGGGACAGTGCAAATCAGGGAGCCTGTGCCAGAATCTAATCTACACACTCTTCCCTTCCTTGAGAAACTCTTGCTACAAAAAAAAAAAGTCAGCTGACCTAGGCAGTGTGTAGGGTAGTGACATGGTTGCTTTGCCTGAATTTCCATTCCTTTGTATGCTCATGTCTCGTTTCATGACTGGTGATCATGAGTGGATGGATTGGTCAGTCTAAAGACTGCACTGTGAACATCTTTACTCTAGAGAACATATTTTCCCAAGACACACATATGAGTCTTTACTTCCAGTGCTGGTGATGAATCTAATTATCCCTGTCCTTGAATCCTTCTGCTTTAGTAACACCCTGCAAGTGTATTTGCAGGGTAAGTGAAATGAGGTGAAAGAGAACTTTCCAGGAAAGAGACTTCCCGGGGCATTGAGTGAGGCAGCACCGTTTCTAATGATTCACACAAACAGCCTGTCGTCAAGCATTTCTATCAAGTACTTATTTAACAAGTGTTATATCAAGTATTCACACTAAGAGCTTAAAATAGGACATGCTGGAGACTTCCCTGGTGATACACTGGTTATAGCTCTGCACTTTCACTACCAGGGGCATGTTCAAACCCTGGTTGGGAAACTAAGATCCCACACACCATGTGCTGTGGCCAAAACAGAAACAGACTCACAGATTTAGAGAATGAACTTGTGGATGCCAGGAGGAAGGATGGAGAGAAGGAGTGGGGGAAGGGATAGTTAGGGAGTTTGGAATGGACACCTACACACTGAGTCCTTTTGCTGCCCCACCTGGAATTGTTACAATATTGTTAATCAGCTATGCTCCAACACAAATAAAAAGCTGTCTTTTTTTTTTTTTAAAGAAGAACCTTGTGGCTAAAAAAACAAAAACAATAAGATATGCCTATGTCTGCACCAAAATCTTATCTCATTTCAAGCGTAAAGTTAGGGGAAAAAATTCAGAATGTTTTAAAATCTAACTGGCCTCACCTATACACAGTCCTTACTCACTAATAACTTCAACACCATCAAAGGATATTTAGTTTATATAGATCTAATGACCAGAGGACTGTGTGATGCAGAAGTTTATGTTTCTATGTGTGATCACTATGTTGATTCTTTATCTACGTTATCCCATATAATCCACAGGATGAGGCACTTGATAAGAAACTCCACTGCTCCAGTCATTCCACTACTGGATATATATTAATACATACAAGAATTGAAAGCAGGGTCTCAAAGAGATATTTGCACATTTATATTCACAGTACTATTTTTCACCATAGCCAAGAGATGGGAGCTACCCAAGTGTCCATGGACAGATGAATGGATAAACAATATAGTAGAGACACTAGAATATTATTCAACCTTAAAAAAGAGGGAAATTCTGACCCATGGTGCAGCATCAGTGAATTTTGAAGCCATCTGCTAAGTGGAAAAACACCCAGTCACAAAAGGATAAGCCTTGTATAAATCACATGTATAAGATCTAATGTAGCCAAATTCATAAAGACAGAAAATAAACTGATTGTTCACTGTGGTTGGGGGAGGGGAAAAGGAGAGCTATCACCTAATGGATGCAGAGTTCCAGTTTTGTAAGACAAAAGGAGTTCTGGATGGTGGTGGATAGTGCTGATGGTTACACAACAGTGAGAATGGACTTATGCTATTGAACAGTACACTGAAAAAAAAGCGAAGATGGCACATTCAGTGTTGTGTGCTGTGCTGTACTTAGTCACTCAGGCGTATCTGACTCTTTGAGTGACCCCATGGACTGTATGTAGTTCACCAGGCTCCTCTGTCTATGGGGATTCTCTAGGCAAGAAGACTGGAGTGGGTTGCCATGCCCTCTTCCAGGGGATCTTCCCAACCCCGGATGGAACCCAGGTCTCCTGCATTGCAGGTGGATTCTTTATCATCTGAGCCACCAGGGAAGCCCTTAATGTTGTATATATTGTAACTAAAATATTTTAGTTTAAAAAAAAAATCTCCTCTACCCTGAAGGAAAAATGAAGAGCTTGTACATAGTGGCTAAAGCACCATGAACAAGTGGAAGCGAGGTCCTTAAAGGGTAGTCCTGGATCGCATCATCTACATCCTCAGAGGATTTGTTAGAACAGCAAACTCTTGGGCCCTACTCCAGATCCACTGAATCAGAAACTCTGGAGGTGGGCCCAGCACTCCGTTTCAAGAAGCGCTCCAGGTGGCGCTGACACTTGCTGAAGTCTGAGAACCCCTGGACTCAAGAGTCTCTCCTCATGTTCCCTTGTTGTTGCTGTTTAGTTGCTCAGTTGTGTCTGACTCTTTCGTGACCCCATGCACTGCAGACCTTTAGGACCCTGTGTCCATGGAATTCTCCAGGCAAGACTACTAGAGTGGGTCGCCATTTCCTTCTCCAGGGGATCTTCTAGACCCAGGGATCGAACCCACATCTCCTGTTTGGCAGAGGCATTCTTTACGGCTGAGCCACCAGGGAAGCCATCAGTTCAGTTCAGTTCAGTCGCTCAGTCACGTCCAACACTTTGCAACCCCATGGACTGCAGCACACCAGGACTCCCTGTCCATCACCAACTCCCGGAGTTTACTCAAACTCATGTTCATTGAGTCGGTGATGCCACTGAGCCATCTCATCCTCTGTCACCCCCTTTGCCTCCTGCCTTCAATCTTTCCCAGCATCAGGGTCTTTTCCAATGAGTCAGCTCTTCCCATCAGATGGCCAAAGTATTGGAGTTTCAGCTTCAGCATCAGTCCTTCCAATGAATATTCAGGACTAATTTCCTTTAGGATGGACTGGTTGGATCTCCTTGCAGTCCAAGGGACTCTCAAGAGTCTTCTCCAACACCACAGTTCAAAAGCATCAATTCTTTGGCACTCAGCTTCCCTTATAGTCCGACTCTCACATCCATACATGACTACTGAAAAAATAGCTTTGACTAGATGCACCTGTGTTGGCAAAGTAATGTCTCTGCTTTGGGAAGCCATAGCCCAGGGAACTATAGTCAATATTCTGTAAAAATGTATATGGAATAAGAATCTTAAAAGGATATGTGTGTGTGTCACACACACACGTATATGAATCACTTTGTTGTACACTTGAAAGTAACACAACATTGTAAATCAACCATAATCAAAAAAGAACCACTGCAGCCGTTCAGATGAGAGCTAACTGAGGGCTCATTGGGGAAGAAAACTGGGGGAGGAGGAGGAGGAAATGGTGGCATAAAGCTTGGAGATGGTGGAAGTTGACCAGGTCCAGATGTGGGGGTATTACAGAGCAGGAATCAGAAATGACATCCCTCCTTCTCCCAGCATATTCCAGTCTGTACTTTGTCTCATTCTCTTGGGAAAAGACTTTCGGATTTCACGGACTTCACATTATTTAACCCAACGAGCATTTAAGTGGTGAGACTGCTATAAAGAGCTCTCAGGGGAAAAGCTGAAATGACAACACAGCGCTCACAAAGCATGAGATTGTTCCGGAACGTAATTCATCAAGTGAGACTGGCTCTGCCTCTATCAAAACATGACTTCTGAGACTGGGGGATTTCCCGAGTGCTTCGTTTTCTCACTCAAGCAATATCCAAACAGTACTGCCCGGTCACGGGTTGGGGCCCACAGACGAGAAATGACA